TTCATAATTCAGCGTCAATGCTATTCGGCGAGGCTCCATGACATACTGGTTATTTTATGTGACTTAGAAAAAGGTTTTGAAAATTAAGTCGTACTGATGTGACCGAAGAGAGGTTTAGGCTAGAACACAGGCACCGACAAACAACTCTTGACATGTTTCTTCTAAAAGAGCAGCAGCCCTTTACACTTGTACAAGAGTTTCAATGAACCTGGCGTATAGACATGCCTCTACACCACAAAAGCATGCTAAACAAATGAGGCGAGAAGGTCAGCGAAGGCCAGAGAGAGAGAGAGTTGTGCATCCACCCAACACACTTTTGAATCCGAAGCATTTCTTAGCGAACTTCGGCGACTTTGAATCTATCTATCTATCTATCTATCTATCTATCTATCTATCTATCTATCTATCTATCTATCTATCTATCTATCTATCTATCTATCTATCTATCTATCTATCTATCTATCTATCTGTCTGTCTGTCTGTCTGTCTGTCTGTCTGTCTGTCTGTCTGTCTATCTATCTATCTATCTATCTATCTATCTATCTATCTATCTATCTATCTATCTATCTATCTATCTATCTATCTATCTATCTATCTATCTATCTATCTATCTATCTATCTATCTGTCTGTCTGTCTGTCTGTCTGTCTGTCTGTCTGTCTGTCTGTCTGTCTGTCTGTCTGTCTGTCTGTCTGTCTGTCTATCTATCTATCTATCTATCTATCTATCTATCTATCTATCTATCTATCTATCTATCTATCTATCTATCTATCTATCTATCTATCTATCTATCTATCTATCTATCTATCTATTCATCTAGCCGCTTAAGTTACGGTGCTCTCGTGGTCACCCCCTTAACTTGGCGTGAACCAAAATTAGTATGGGAGGGTAAGATGATTTGACGAATATGACATGCTGGTCAGGCCATGAATAATGTCATAACCCCATAACGTACGTCGTGAAACACGTTTTGCCAGACAGTTGCACATACCCACAAGCGAACCATCTGCCCACATAACCACATAACGATGTGCGAACCACATAATCATGTGCCTCTGGTATGCGGGTATGTGCCACAGGTGATTGACACTTGGTATACGCTCAGGAACAGTGAGAACACACATGGGGAAGTTTAACGCGTGAAAAGGAGTACTGACACGAAATTTTTCAGTTATCGTTTTGTGGCGTCAAATGGTAGGCCAAGGCCTCAAGAGCCTAGAAAATGTATCAGTTAGCGTGAGCGCGCCCTGAAAAATTAATTACAAGGTATTTTTAAAAGCTAGTTTCAGTTTCTACTGTACTCTGACGTCACGACGTAGTGTGAGCAGTGCCCCCGAGCGTTGGTATGTGCATGCGCAAGTTATCGTGACGTATCTCCGGTAGCCCGTGACTCAGTTGTCATTTGCTGCACGCCGCACGTGTAGCATCTTGTGCGCCGTCAACGATGGACGAACTTTGGTCAAGCGACTCTGAGGACAGTAACGACATAGGTAGAGAAGAAGATGCTGAGCTTGCCAACCGTGCCAACCATTTCGCTTTCGACCCTTTTGCGAGCTCGTCGGAAGACGGGGCACCAGACAACGATAACGCCATGCAAGACGTCGTGGGCATGGGGAACATCGAATGGTAAGAATTGCGTGTCCATTGCTCGATTTCGCGGAAGCATCTTCCGGCTGTCCTAAGAGTCAATAGTGTTTGCAGTAAAGTGGAGTGAACAGAGCAAACTCCACTTGGTCGGCGTCCAGTCTCCGCCTCGGCCGCGGTGCACGAAGTCGACCCATGCTTGTCTCAGCGCCGTATCAGACGGGAATCAGTGGAACTTTCACCTATCCCTCATTTCAATAGCTGAAGACTTCTCGGGACAAAATATCAGTGTCATGGCGACAGATCCAAATCGAATCACTTCCTTGTCCTCTGAGCAGTGTATATTCTGTACTCACGAGGACGCACAATACTGTAGACTCTGCTCACTCGCCTCACAGGTTCGTTGGATGATAGCGACCGCACGCCGCAAACAGACGACCGAGAAGGCAACGAGCAGCCAGGCTGCCATTTGTTGTTTTTTCGTGCCTGACGTCATCCCAGCTTGCCAGACTGTTGCGTGAAGTCACCAAAATTAGTGCTGTAGTACTAAAGCCTGACGTCAAGCTAGTGTTCATGTCAATAGGATCGCCAAGAAAAATTTCACTTTAACATCAAAATAAAATACCTTATCTGCATTTGCTGAGCTTCACACTTCTTCAGAGCGATCTCGGTGTACAGTAGATTTTTATGGCAGAACAAACTCGCCTTTGAATAGAGGTGTCAGTACTCCTCTAAGCAATACCCGACATCGGTAGCGTCGACCCAACGAAAACATAAAACAAATGTCAGGGTTCCAGCTGGAATCGAACCAAGGTATTCTGCATGGCAATTAAGCATTCTACCGCAAAGCTACGCCTGGTCCCACAACTATTTTTCAAATAGACGCTAATCCTCGTGAAATGATAATAGGGGTTGTAGTGCTGCCTACTCAATTTTATAAAAATTACATATGTACTCCTTTGGTGCAGTCATAACGTCGGGTTAACGTCAATTAGGTGTAAGGTGCCATGAGTGGAAGTTGATTTATGTAGCAGTGTCCAGGACCAACATACTCACGAGCCTCAGCACTTCATATCAGCCTCTGATGTTGCTAATACATATGTTCCAGCTGACATCGTTGCGCAATTAGAAACAGCTTGTTATATAAACAAATTCAACTCTTCAGCTTATGCCTGTGTGTGCAAAATTTGTACATATATTTAGCGTCATTTCATGACATGCTGCCAAAAAAAAATTGCAACCTGATCACCATCCCTCCGCATGCTCCCAATAAAGTCGAATCCCAGGTACGTGGGATTTGCCGTTTTTTTATATATAAAAAGCTTTCTCTAATGCTGAATAATAAAACTGAACACAAGAGGAATTAGAAAATGGTACTTTATTGTATTTCGAAAATTAGTGGTAATTCAGAAGTACTCTTTCTCGTCTGTGTCACCTTTCATGTATTTCATTGTACTTTATATTTAGATGCTATTTAGCCTATGGTCGGGGCTTATCTACTTTCTGTCGTTAGCGATGCTAGTAATCGGAGTTCCCTTTATATGGCTCGGCGGTAGAGCACTCGTTCCTCTCCGACACATGCTCTCGTATGAGTGGATACCTGTAATGGCGGTGCGCTGCTCTGTTAAATAAAAGCACTTACTGTTCTTTCTCTCACACGCACAGTGTAGTAGTGTGAATGAAGACACGAGCATTAGTGCAGTGAAGGTGAGAGCTCGTAAAGCGGCTGTTTGGAAAGCTATGATTATCTACGGTAATGAATAAGGAGCACCTTTTTACAGAACCTAAAGTCGGCTAATAGTTGCTTTGCATACTACTCAGGGTCTCTTTATGGGGAGATCTGTGTGATACTTTGGCACTCTTGTTCCTGCATAATGTATCGATAGCAAATTTGGTTTCATGTGTTGTAAACTTACTAAACCAACTGGGCAAGGTAAACAGTTCCACATTGATTTCCTATGTTGCTTTTATAGGTACAACTACGGTATACTAAAACGGACAATCCCCAAATAGCGTTTCAACTCAATAAACTTTGGGTTGTTCAGGTGAGATATGTTATTACGAGAGAAAAAGAAAAAGTTCAACTTCGCTTCACACATTGCGAGAATCAAAAACAGCTGATCTATTCGTGCTCTGTGTTGGCCATGTGCTTACTGCTTTCATTGCTCTAAACTCTACAAACACGAGTGTTTTCACATACCTATCTTATTTAAAAAGATCCGCAGCGGCCGAGAATTGAAGTGGCATCGTCATAGTTAGAAGCCCCACCTATGGGCTGCGAAACCAAAATAATGGTTGAAAAGACTACACGCTACATATATTATCACGAACACTATGCGTCAGATATGCAAATTCGTTAATCATAATTTTGTAAGCTCCCTTAAGGGTTAAGATAAACTCATTGACAACCAACCATTTCTGGCAGGAAGCCATCAGAAAATTTGTATAGATTTCTCCAAAATATAGATGTCTTCTGGTTCGCTCAGATTCATTGTTCAAAACTGTGTGAGTGCGTTGGTATGCAGTAATTAGAACAGACGTAATGGTGCTCTTATTCTAGGATGATCATCTGCTGGTCCCTGAAACTTGCGCAGTAAACAACAGTGTATGCGGCTACGATGTTGAAACAACCCTAAACAAGACCACTGAATACCTAAATGATTGTGTGATCGAAAACTGCGATATTATTTACGTTGTCATCAGGTAAGGTAAATTTTGCGAAGTACCGCAAGGTTCTGCGATGCGGCGCTTTTTTCAAAAATATTTTAAACCCAGCAGATTGGAACTATCTTCTTTTCATTTCATCACAAAATTTCATGTGCTCACAAAAGCTAACAATAAAACACCTTGAGTTTCGAGTGTGGTGAAGGTACAATCTTTGCAAGCCATCACTACCTAAAAATTGTCTCTCCTCGAAATGACGCCTATGTTTGTTTATATACACATAGACAAGAACGGTAACATATTTCATGTCTCTGTCTAACGCTAAACTTTCTGACATTCCCCTATTATACTCGTGTGAGATGGCAAAAAACACAAACTTTTGTAAGGCTACTATGTATACAGCTACCACTATGTTACACAAATCTTGCTAGCATGCTTCACACAACTCTATAGCACCATATTTTATTTGTATTAGTACGGGTACTGGTACTGTTCGATTCACACGTTGATCCTATTCTTTGGAATTTTGCTCAAATAAAGTGATCGCATTAAGGCAGGAGGTTTTACGTGGGCTGTTTTTATATGTTGCTGTTTGGAAGCAAAAAAAAAAGGCAGCTCACGTCTTCCTACGTTCTACACGCAAGCGGTAACACGGGTAGAAATTATGATGTACATCATAGAAAAAAATTAGCACAGCGCTAGGGTCGAAAATCTAACCTAAAATATATATTCTTCCAGTGAGGACCTCACCTACATGAATAATGACACACTCTCTACGGCAGTCCAAGGTGAGCGTGAGATCTTCTGCTATAAAATACGTTAGGTGGTTAAAAGTTCCTACCACTCAACATGATCTCTATTGAAAGAAGGTTTACAGTCGATAGATAGCCGATGTTTACACGAAAAAGGTGAACACGCATAACGGAAACAGTTTCACTCTAGCGTTGATTTCTAATGTGGCTTTTGCGGTGGTTTGCGTAACATACCACGATTGATTGCAATAATAAATATTTAGGTTCTAAGTTCAAGGACTACAATATGATTGCGGTGTACGTTGTGATAAAAGCTCAGGAAAATTCTGCAGTTAGGGGTTTAATAAGGTGCGCAGCAATCTAAGTACATGAATCTCATGCAGTTTGCTTCCATTGCGAAGATTTACCAGCACTGGAAATGATCTCAATGGTGCAAACCGCAGCAGTGCGGTGGGAATACTTCAGAAAAAACAAGTAAATATGTTGAATAATACAAACGTTTACCTTAGCAACATAGTTGAGATTACGACCACTTGCACGCAAATAACCATGTTCACTTGTTGATAAGCATGATAAAAGGCTTTTTTGCGAACATGTGGTTACTCAAACTTGGTCGTTTTGCTCTAAAAACCTGATTGATTTCTCCTCGATAAAAATAGCTGCTCGTGCAGACGTACTGCATGATTTACTGAGCGTTGATATAGGAGACTTTGCACATTGTAAAATGGTATTCATGTTTGGCAGCGACCACTCCGTTCAACATGCATGTACACACGTTGAAGCTTCGTGGTACAACTTTAATTTTCGGAGTAACAACTATTATCAATTAATTAAACCAACTATTGTGGCAGGTGTGGATCTTAATGGCGAAGGCGTGATCAGAGGAAGAGACGCGATAGACTAAATATCGTGGCTGATTTAATGTATAGCTTAGGCTAATGTCGCCATTCTGCGGAACGGTGAACTGTGATTGAACACCCCGGCCAGACACAACGTTGCAGATGCTAATCGCAGAGGCCACATGATAGATGAGTCACTTTACACCCCCAAGAAGTCGTCATCACCCCTCTGATCAAGAGCACTGAGAGAAAAAAAAAACACGTAATATAAAAGGTGCTTGTAAAGTCGTTGGAGTGTTGCCGTGGAACAGGGGTTAGCATGCTCAGCAGTTGTTGCTGCAGACCGAGAGGTCATCATGAAGACGTTAATTAGTTTTCACTTTACATCAAATCGGACACAATTTGAGACGTCATTATTGTGACGAAACTACATCGCTGGGTTTTCAACGAACCCTATCATAAGATACCTCCAAGTTAAAATGGCGCAAAATGTTACATCGTTCTAGTGGAACGTTATGCCCCGAAGTACGGTTTTGAAAACAAAACAATGAGTAATCTAAAAAGACGGCGACGGGGCGAAGAGCCTAAGCCATGGCTTGGCGTATCTTCTTCCATATGGGAGTGACCCGCTAGGTGCTCGTTCAGGCCCCGACAGACCTGAATAAAGTTTTAAGTGTGGAATGTTGTAGGGTGCCGGGCTACTATATGGTGTCGTATCCTGTAGTATATGATATACTATTTGACTGTAAACATTCGACAGATGTCTATCTGGTTGGGTATGAAAACTGACAGATGATTCAAATTCCAACCAAAAGTTTTTGAAAAAACCAGGCCTTTCAGAAACAACTTGGTTCCTTCCTATAGGGGAAACTTCGACTACGTAGCAGCGGCGTCTTCAAGGCACTCGCGGGGTGGTTAAAGACCCTCTCTCTCTCTCTCTCTCTCTCGTTCTTGTTTCGCCCTACAGCACAGTCTATGTGTATACACTGGGGGAAGAGCTCCGAAAGAGCGGTTGATGTTTTAGGCCAAGCGCTGTATATACCACGACTCGAGTAGTAAGCTTCTCCTCCAGTTCGCCTGGCTTTATAGGGTCGCCGTTGCTTCGAAATTTATCCGGTGGTTCAACGTCTCAGCATAAGGGGAAGTGATTCTAAAATGAAAAGAAAAGTGAGCCCGTAACTGTCTCTCGGGGGAGGACACATCAACAGTAGCCCACGAGGAGTGGGGGTAAGGAGTGATTAAAAGGATAGGATGAAAAGGTATAGAAATACATATAAGGCGAAGGAGAGAGCGTGGCGTGAGGGAGCGACATGATGAAGTAAGGAGAAGATAAGAAAGATGGACGTAGTCGCAGGAGTCCGAGGGCGGGGCAACACTCGGCGGGAGCTCTTGTCGGTGTCAGGAGATGGCGTAGGACGAGCCTAGTCGGCCAGAGGAGCGCTTTCGTTGGCGTGTTGTTTGAGTCGTAGGGTTTTCATCTCGCCGATTTACGAAGGCCACTTGACTTACAGGATTTTGTAAACGACACCGGGGGTCCTATCTATTGTTGGCCAGTCTTTCGGGTGGGGGAGGAGGCAGCCCAGCGTACACGAAGGCACGTGGGCGATGCGACGCCCTTCTTTTTTGAAGATCCGTGCCAATATCTCGCTGGTTCCTGAACGTATGGGACCGGTACTCGTTTCAGAGGGCTGCCAATTATTGCTTATTGGAGTTTTCGTATCCCCTGTTGCTATGCGTGGCGGGGGGCGTGTGATAGAAGTTTTTTGGGTATCCGTTTTTTTTGAGGTCTGCAATTACGTGGCCCCTCTTTCTTTCGCTCCACCTCATTGGAGCTTAAGTTCTTAGCTCTCTGGAGTAGCGTGGTCACAACCGACTTCAGACAGCATCTAAATTTTCGTGCACCCAGCCATACAATTCAAGGCCGAGTGTGAACGTGACCGCTGCCTGCCCTTTCTTGACGTCCAGGTGGCAAGGAAGTGCAACGGCCTGGAGTTTTCCGGTCGCATGAAGCCATCGCACACCGGCCGCTACCTTCAATATAATTCAACCCACCCCGCCTGCCACACGGCCTCGGTTGTGACCACGCAACTCAAGAGAGCTAAGAACTTATGCTCCAATGACGTGGAGCGAAAGAAATAAGGGACCCGCGTGATTGTAGACCTATGCTCGGGTGGCGCAGTGGGTGACGGCTCGTATGAATAAATATTCATACGAGCCGCCACCCACTGCGCAAACTAGAGAGGATACGAAAACCCCAATCACCAATAATTGGGAGCCCTCCAAAACACGTACCGGTCCCGTACGTTCAAGGAACCAGCCAGATGTTGGCACGGATCTTCAAAAAAGAAGGGGGTCGCATCGCGCACGTGGCTTCGTGTACGCTGGGCCGCCTCCTCCCGCACCCGAAAGACCGCCCAACAAATAACAGGACCCCCGGTGTTGTTTACGAAATTCCGTGCGCCGAGTGCCCTTCTTCGTATATCGGCGAGACGAAAAAGCTACCAGAACGTTTCAAGCAACACGCCAACGATGTGTGGCAGCTCTACAAAGAGCGCAGCGCAATGACCGAGCATGCCGAGACGTTGGATCACGGAATAAATTTCGAAGCAAACACCATCGTTGAAAGCGAGACGAAATTCAGGAGAAGGTGACCACTCTTGTCATGGCATATACAGCGAACGGCCCAAAACATCAACCGCTCTCTCGGAGCACTTCCCCCATTGTATACACATGCACTACGCTTCACGGCAAAGCGAGTAAGAGGGCGGTGTGCCTTAACCACCCCACGAGTGATTTGAAGACGGCGGTGCTACGTGGTCCCAGTTTCCCCTGAAGAAGGAACCAAGTTGGTTTCGAAACGTCGGGTTTCTTGAAACACTTTTGGTTGAAATTACAATCATTTGCCAGTTTTCATAGCCAACCAGACAGACATCTGTTGAATGTTTACATTCAAGTCAATCAGCCAAGACTACTTCGAGCACAATACCATGCAGCTCTTCAAACGCTACATACGCATTAAGGAAGGTATCTCAGTCTTCAAGACTCTTCTCGGCTTCAGCCGTACCTGCAGAGAAACGAAAGTTCTTCCTCAAAGCCTGCACCCAAAACGACCTGCCTCAATCATTGATGCTTGGTAGTCATCACGAGAGCCGAACAACGACTGATCAACGCCCGCCTTCATGAAATTAACGCCTGTCTACAGGAAAAGAATTGGATCTGTTCTTCGCTGAGTTTCAACTTGAGCACCGCATCTCTTAGTTAATGTCAGCGGCCGACGCGCTCATGGACTCCTTTTCGACATCGACGGCAAACAAGAACCGGACCACCCAGGATAATAAACTTTCCTACCTGTTGTACTGGATTACCCCCCAAAGCATTCAAAATTTCAGGTTTGTCACCAATGTTTCATAACGTCCACCCACTGATTGGGTAACTACTGTTCTGGCAAAGTGACATGGCTATGACATTTTAACGAGGACCCGTCTACGTAAACTTGTCGCGGCCGTGGAGGAAGCTGTTCAGAGCATGAGGCCGAGCGCCAGAGAAGAAATCAAGGCCCAAAAAATTGGGCTCCTTTTGAAATTACCATTACAAAAGAAAAAGAACTTTACCGCAAAGGAGAACCAGGCGCATCGGTAACTCCGACGGGATCAAAGCATTGTAATCTTGCCCACCGACAAGGGCGATTCGACGATGGTGTTGGACAGCGGAGACAGCATACAATTGGAAGATTTCAGCTCCTTTAGAAGGGGACGCATACACGCAGCTAAAAAAGGACCCAACGAAGCAAACCCAGACACAGCTAAACAAGCTACCCACAGAGATTTTCAGGCATTACCCAGATCTCAGAACCCTTTCCCTGCGACTCATCTGTTTTAACGGATCTACACCGAGTTTCTATGGACTACCGAATATTCCCAAGCCTTACATCCCCTTCGACCAATTGTAAACTTCACTTCCTCTCAATACCGAGCCCTTTCTAATCTTATACACCGAATCTTCGCCCCCCCCCCCCCCCCCCTTTAACCAGAAAGACACCAACTCATGTTCATGACTCCAGCCACTTTGTACAGCTAGCGAAGACGTGACGATCGACAATGACGACAGCCTGGTCTCTATTGACGTCGTTTCATTGTTCACCCATGTGCCAGTGCCCTTAGCTGTGTCATCTGCCCGTGCTGCGCTTAAGGGTGACGCATGTCTGAGGGAAAGGACTCCTTTGGTGGTTGACGAGCTCTGCCGTCTACTGGACTTCTGCCTGCCTAGTACGTACTTCCGCTACAAAAAAAAAACTATTTTCAGGCATAACAGTGGAACCGCGATGGGAGCTCCCATCTACGTCACGATGGTAAACCTGACCAGTGAGCATACAGAAGAAAAAGCACTCAGCTCCTTCTCGCCGCCGTCCAAGCTTTTTCTTCGTTTTATGGATGATTGCTTTTGCGGCATGAAAACGTCTGAAATTTAGAACTTCGGACAGCACCTGAATTCTGTGCACCCAGCCATTCAATTCACGGCCGAGTGTGAAAACGATCACTGCCTGCCCTTTCTTGACGTCCAGGTGGCAAGAAAGCGCAACGGCCTGGAGTTTTCCGTTCACAGGAAGCCAACGCACACCACCCGCTACCTTGAATATGATTGATCCCACCCCACCTGCCACAAGGCCTCGGGTGTGACCACGCTACTCCAGAGAGCTCAGAACTTATGCTCCAATGACATGGAGCGAAAGAAAGAAGAGGCCCGCGTAATTGTGGACCTCAGAAAGAACTGATACCCAATAAACTTCACTTGAGCCACAAACCGCCGCGCAGAGAAACAGGGGATACGAAAGCTCCAATTAGCATTATTTGGCAGCCCTCCAAAACGCGTACAGGTCCCGTTTGTTCAGGAAACCAGCGAGATGTCGCTGATCTTCAAAAAAGAAGGAGGTCGCATCACGCACGTGCTTTCGTGTATGCTTGGCCGCCTCCTCCCCCGCCTGAAAGACCGGCAACAATGTACAGGACCCGCGGTTTCGTTTACGAAATACCGTGTGCCAAGTGCCCTTCTTCGTGTACCGGCGAGACAAAAAGCCTACCGGAACTATTCAAAGAACACGCCAATGACGTGCGAAAGCTCTACAAAGAGCGCAGCGCACTTGCCGAGCATGCTGAGACGTTGGACCACCAGATAAATTTCGCAGCAACGACCATCCTTGAAAGCGAGATGAACTGGAGGAGAAGGTTACTACTCGGGTCGTGGTATATACAGCAAATGGCCCAAGACATCAGCCACTCTCTCGGAACCCTTCTCCCCAGAGTATACACATGGACAGTGCTCCACAGCAAAACGAGAGAGAAAGAGAGAGGGGGGCGCATTAACCATCGCACGAGTGTTTTGAAGACGCCGGTAATACGTAGTCCTAGTTTCCCCTGAGGAAGGAACCGAGTCAGTTCCGAAACGTCAGGTTTCTTCAAAAACATTTCGTTAGAGTTTAAATTATCTGCCAGTATATGCATTAGTATGATTTATTCGTTGCTTGGTGGAACGCTTCATCAAAGCATAGTGAGCGCGCACCATTGGGTTTTCTAAAATAAACCATAGATGGGACTCTAGCACTGAGTTTGTTCAGCGACCATGGCAATGATAGGTAGTACACAGATTTGCCTAGTCTTCGTACTTGTGGCTTCGTTTATTGCAGTGTTTCGGTTTTATTTTGAATGAAAGGATAAACCATTTAACTTCATGACCCGATTCTAAATGGTAAGCCTAAAATAATAACGCGGTGAAGCGCAACCGTTTCACATTCGCCTATTTCTTGTTTCGTGAGAAAACAGCTCCAAGCCACATGAACAAAAACGGAGCCAGAAGTACGAATATTAGACAAATCCGTGTACTACCCATCATTCCCATGCTCGCTGATTCACCGTGCGCCGCAGCTCTCATAGACACTAGCGCCAGTGTTCCCTCTAGTGTACATTTAGGAAACTCTATGGAACGCACGCACTAAGGACAATGGGGAATCCTCTTTCCCTTGTTCTTCGTGCGCTTCGAATATAAAATGAGCACCCGCTTGAGCCAAGCAGAAGTGTTTGCATTGTCTTCAGACTGCTTTGATGATGACCACTGATCAGCCGCAAAAATAAGAGAGAAATGGACAACAGTGGACTTGGAGTAAGGCGGGCAAAATAAATCTAAAATAAAGAAGGGTGATCTAGGGGGAAATAGAAAGAGAGAAAGAGAGATAGAAAAAATGTTTCAAGAAGAACAGAAAGAGAACGTCTGAAAAAGAATCAGGTAAAGTAGTTGGAAGGAATGAATTGAATAAAAGTGAAAAAAAAACAAGACTGAAAAATACAGAAAATGAAAGAAACAGCACAAAAAAAGATGTGGAAAGACAAAAAAACCAAACATAAAAAAACAAAGAATGTAGCAAAGCTCTGCACTGAATTCAGGCTTGGCAGCTCGAGTATGAAGCTGCATTATTCCATTTCATTTTGTTTGCATCAGCGAGTGCTCCTTTTAGAATACATGACTATGGAAGTTGCGCTGTATACAAGTGCTGAAAACATTTATTTTAATCACATTTACGTAAGTGCCTGCAGGATCCACTTTTGTTTGCGTGTTTATATACTGATGTGTCGTTTTCTTTACAACACTCATAACACGCTCCTAATACCACAGCTTCCCAGAGTATTTTTGAATATCCTCTAGCTAAGCTTTTGTTCAAACGCTTCTACATAGTGTACATGTTTGATTGTTCAATTTGCAGACTCTCTGGCTATATATACAAAACTTTGTATTAAAAATATTTACTTCAGTGGTCACGTTGTGCCGTCTATGATCTGTATTCATTTTTCTGCATTTTTCTGTGCGCAATTGTATTGCATAATGAGAAGTAGACCTAAAGAGCGGGTTTGCTACTGCCTTTTTGATAGGTTTATTTTTATATTGAACAAAGTTTAATTTACATTTTTGTGCACTTTATTGAAATGTTATTTATTAGTTCTCATTTCTTAACACATTTTAACCCCTTTCTGTTGTTTTGTATTAGGCTAGTTTCAACCTATTATTGCATCATCCCTTTACGTAATGCCTCTAACGGCCTGATGGGTAGGTTAAAATAATGAATAATTAAAAAAATAGGTCAGCAAACAGTTGAAAAGGTCTCTCCTAAATGACAATTGTAAATGTTGCAGGTACAATTAAAATAAACTTATTTGCACCTAAACAGTAACTCTACAATTGAAATATATTGCTGTGGCTGGTCAATACTTGTGCTTTGGATGCAGTTGTTGCTACCATGTTTTCTCAATTACTAATAAACAAGTACACTAAAGTTCAAAGTTCAAAATGCAAAACTTTAATACCAGATGGCAGAATCGGAAGAAAGGAATGCCTAATAATACATTTGCCGACTTCTTTTTCTACCCGGGTCGTCTGTACAGATCACCATTTTAATGTACCTGGCTTCCTGTGTCAAACTATCAGTTTTTATCTTAAACCAAGGGAGTTTCTTGAAGCTGCTCAATAACTCTAAGAAACCTGGAATAGTCCTAATGCCTCCAAGCATCCCATCGGCCTCGTTACTATATTTGGCTTTCTTTGTTAATTTTATTATTTCAAGGAAAAAACGTATACATTGAATGTATTCATCTAGTATGTTTACCATATACGAAAACACGTATAGCGTAAAGAAAAGTGCGTCTTGCAATAACAAAACTACTCCTTCAGGTATGGCTGAAATTGGTGGAATTTGCACAGAGAATAAAGTGGCCATCGGAGAAGACAAACCTTACCTGTTCAGTGGAGTCACAACAATGGCACATGAAATTGGCCATTTGTAAGCACTTTCAATACTCACTAAACATCTCTCAATTCAATGAGTCAAATTGTCAAGTTTTCAAACTAGTACAGAAACTAGAAATCGGGCTCGATCGATGGCTCCTAATATAGTTAGCCTTTCACTCTAAAGCCTGTAGGGTCCCTCATTCATTCGCCCAAGTATACAAGAGGGCAAAAGCCATGTTTTTTTTTTCTTTTCTTGTCCCACCGTGGTGGTATAGTGGCTAAGGTACTCGGCTGCTGACCCGCAGTTTGTGGGAGTGAATCCCCGCTGCAGCGGCTGCATTTTAGATGGAGTCGAAAATGCTGTAGGCCCGTCTGGTCAGATTTGGGTGCACGTTAAAGAACCCCAGATGGTAGAAATTTCCGAAGCACTCCACTGCAGCGTCTTTCATAATAGTAAAGTGGGTTTTGGACGTTAAACCACATTTATCAATCAATCTGGACTGGATGCCAGTCATTTTGTTAATTCTGCTCTCCCTCTCCTCCTACCAAAGCTTCCTGTATGAAACGTGGCTTTCTTACTGCATTGCGTACAAGGGGCGTTTTAAGGTTTCTGCATTCCACCTGGTTTAGCACTGTCTGTGTGATCAGCTCACCGCCGAAGACAAAAAGTTTATGTAGCTCCCCTACTTCGAGAGAATTTGTGACGTCATCGCATCGCATTTTTTTACGTGATTCATGTAGACGTCAACGCTGCAGACGGCAAACTTGAACTTTTGTATGTGACAAGGCCCCTAATGCTTTTGATTTATTAAGTGTCTAATCTCATGGTATAAAGACGGCCAGGGCACAGCCTGCACGATCTCGTAGCGCTAGAGCATGTGGAGGTGTGGTAATTAGAAAGAGCATTCTGCCAATGATGTAACAGTGGTAGAGCACACGTTTTAAACTAAAGAAGTTCAATGATCAATGATGCAAAATGTACTTAGCGTGCAAATCTGCGTCTAATGTGTTACTGCGATATGATTGAGACAATTTCTGGAGGCGAAATTTCGTTGAAGAGTGTTGAACCTTGGACTGCGTTCGTACAGCTGCTCCCGAAAGTATGAGTATACAGTCTACTATCATATGTTTAACAGCGAAGATAACGAAACAGCAAAATTAACCACCCAAGGTTGCGGCCCCAAACGCATTTGCAAAAATACTCGATACGCTGCAAGTGTCAGGGATTACGTACAGTGTTGCGACTTCATGAATGGTGCCCGATGTGCGCTATCTCTTCGGGCGCCCAGTGCAGCATGCTGCGTAAGTGAGAGTACGTAAGATTAAGATTGGTGAAAGAAGGGGGAACGTGTTGAGGCCTGACTTCAGGGACACGTTGCAGCGTGTCAGCATGTGGGTTGGTGAAACGATGCTGTGCCCTCTCCTTATAGAAAGAGAGACAGCCGCAGATTCGTATTTGCGCGTCCTCTCTTAGGTGCGTGCTCTTTCTTCATATATAAAAGGCATGGCGCCACGTCAAAAAAGGCAATCGCTGACACAGTCCAACACGAACATGTGGTCAGCTCTTTGTACTAATGTGGATTCAACGGTGTTCTATAGAGAGAAGTTGATTATGCGTCCTTTTCATGGTCCGCGCTTACAAATTGCACCATGCTAATGGGCTTGTCTCTGGTTTTATTAAGTACTCCCCACCCCGTGCATAGAGGTCTTAGGTAGGAAGAGTGGGCCAGTTGCCTGAGGACTTCGTCCACGTTACTTGTCCGAATTCTTATTTTCGCAGGACGCCGGAGTTCAACACGTGGAAAGGATACTATTTGAAAGCTAGTATTAAGCATTATATATATTTCGCCTGTGCTATTCTTTTTAGCAGCGTGTTGAGAGCGAGCACCATATGAGACTTGTTCATGCTCTTTCGTGCTACAGTAACGTGTAAATAATTTTCTATTTGGTAACATGTATTTCACAGCAGCCTTTAAGGCTAATAAAATCATCACTGCACTTATTAACACGTAAATGTATTGCCAATTGCTTGGCAATTTCTGCAAAAACTTGTATCACATCCTAAAAGCAAAATACCTTGTTTCGATAATTTTACAAAATCTTCTATAGGATGTCATTTTAGCTGGCACATCTTGAAGGGGTAGCAACAGTGAAATGACAAATGAAGCTGTTGAGTGCGAAAAATAGAGAATTAGAATTAGGATCGTGGGAATATAAATATATTAGATGAAACGAAACTTTACCTTAGAGCCCGCGAACAGATAGCTTGTGTGAGGTAGTTTTTTTTTTTTTTGATAATGTCTAAAGACGTTTATTTTGTTTTTCAGGCTTGGAAGTGACCATGATGGCTGTCCAGGGGCTCAAAATTGCTCTGCCAAATGGGGAAATCTAATGTCCAATGTAGATGCTGGCATGCACAATAAGTCAATACTGTCAGAGTGCAGTATTCGTCAGATCTCTTTTCTCGTCAAGTAAGAATATATTTCTTTTTTTCCCCGTGAGTGTCGAGTGCATACAAAGTTTTATGGGCGTGTTTGCAAAGTCATAAAATCACTCATGGAGCTCAATATTTGTCCTATAAAAAAAAGAACTATTTTAATAAATGCAGGAGAATCTGGAAACTGCGATACAGTAACAGGCCGCAGTTATGTTCTAGAGTCAAACATTTGTTGTTTAATAAACAGTAATATATAGCCTCCGAATACTGCAATAATTTTATGACATATGACATGAAAGTTTTTTTCGAAAACAATGTAAGTTTACCCATTCATGGAGAGAATTGTGGTAAGCACCAACGGTTGGTGTGTAAGAGTTGAATTGTAGACATAACAGTTTTGAGTTTGGCGCTTGTGTCCTCGTTCCAAGCTCTCGCATTTACTTTTACACTAGTAGGAAATTTGCACTCCTAAATTTTCTACGATAAAGGCGCAAGATTGACTGACGTGCGTGGTTTACACATTTGCCTTGGCTTACAAGAACATAAAACCTAAGCAAGTGGACTCTCGCCTTGTTTTCAATCTCGGGATCACACTAAAAGTAAGTGGCACGTGTTAGGCAAAAAAACAATAACTAGGCTCCACACTAATGGTTCCAAGCCTGAAGTGAGTGATGAGCTAAGAGGTATGCTCTTTCTTCGTAATTTTCTTTTTTTCTTTTCAACGTGTTCACTTTTGTCAGTTGATTGCTTTTTTTGTCCTGGGTGTCTTTGTGTCTACGTCTATTATTTCAATCCTATGCTTTATCTCCCTAATCCTTACATTTCTACTCCTAACCCCCACACCTGTCCTCAAGCCCCCCCCCCCCCCCTTTCTTCCCTCTCCGTAGCTTTTGCGATGCTTCGCTATCGTGCCTGAGAAGCCGGGAGGTTAACTCCCACGCCTTCGGATTGTGGGTACGGGGTTTCAAATCTCGGTTTGCGAACGTTTTCTCAAACTTTTGGCCTTTGTTTTTTTTTATTTCTATTTTTCCCCGTATTTTTTTTTCTTTACGTGTACTCACTTTTTCTCAGCCATCAGTGATGTGCATCCCGCGCCAGTGAGGACGGCGCACGTATTATGGGAGCAAATCCGACGATCAGTAAGATGACAAATTCATAGAAGAGGCCGGAGAAAGCATGTGCCGTTTCATAATGATAATCATTACTGTTCACTCGTTTTGGACTAAATGAAAGCCTAAAATACTCCTATGATAAAAATACGCAGCATATCCATGGACTGAATGATGATGAGTGGGGCGAAGCATCCATCAGTCCGTCCACGCTTCCGTCCGTTCGTTGCTTCTTGCAACCGTGCGTGCGACCGTCCATGCGTCTGCTCGTCCGTCCTTCCTCGTGTTCATTCATGCGTCCCCCAATCCGTGCATCTGTCTGTCTGTCCGTTTGTCTGTCCATGTATTCGCCCGTGCGTCCATGTGTCCATGCGTCCATTCGTCCGTGCGTCCATCTGTGCGTCCGTGCGTCCATCCATGCATCTGTCTGTGTGTCTGTCTGCTTGCCTTAATGTCTGTCCGTAAGCTGTTCATCCACCCGTTCATCTAGTGAACACTCCTAGTACTACCATCTCGCATCTTTTGATCATATATTCATCATATATAAGTACCGTAGTCCAGTGGACATTCCAAGGAATAAACGAGAGCTGGCTACCTACTACGACTACTATTACTACTATACATACATCGCGGGCGTACGACTCACGGAATAAGGAGCTTCATCTCTAAAAGTAGGATAGGAATGTTTTCAGGGTCACGACACACGCTTACGAAAGAACATTTCGTCTGCTTTGTGTCATTTACGAAAAGAATACAATCATATCAAATGTGAGTCACAAAGAGCAACCTAGCTCTCTGTGCATTGTAGATACAATAGAGAACATGTTTAAGATAACACGGATCTCTCTTAGCAAAAGCTAAGAGAGATCAAAACTTGGGTCACGAGCAGCGCCGTGATTGTCCGCCGCTGCCACCGCTGGTGTCCGTATCGGACGAAAACACATCGCACAAAACCAGAAAAAAACCTAGTATCAATGACACAGTGGGGCTCGAACCCAGGTCAAATCCTACCTTTGAGGGGGCACCCAGATAAAATGCTGGGTGCCCCCCCCCCCCGTATTCTACCACTGAGCCACGCCGGTGCTTGGGACTTGTTGGCAAACTTGTCTTAGGCAGTCTTGATGTCGGGAAAGCAATCGCGTTAATACGACTTATAAAGCGTTTTAAAACGGCGAAAGAACAACCAGTCGTCACACAATGCGAATAGCGTAAAGAGTTGGTAGTCCATTGATCCAACCCATCACAAATTTTTTTCTCGTTCTGCTATTAACTGTTGCGCATACCCACTTCAGGCATAATTCCTCATCGTCGTCAGCCACTGCATGAATAATTGGCACAAAATTCCTCGCAAATGTTTAGCGGAGCTCACGCTTTGCAGAAGAGTGACGAAAAATAGCATGGCGACTGCCAGCCTGCTACCCTAAAGTTTTTATTATTATAGCAGTAGCGAACATCAAGCAAGTGTGCTCTCACTAGTTACCCAATGGGTGTTTTGAATTGGCTTGGAAAGTCACTCTTCCAGCTTTCGCTGTGACTGCGCTGCACCTTACACACTCGCCTGGCATTTTTTTGCATACCTGCCTTCCCCGCCAGTATCCGGCACTTCAAATTCCATCCAGACTATCCCAATCTGAAACAACCGAGCACTACCACATGCTGCTTGGAGTGTTTCATTCACGAACGGTCTCACTCACTGAATTGAAATCGAAGACAGCGCTGCGTCAGATCACTGTGGCATAGATGAAACTATTGCACACGTACTTTGTAATTGTACTAAGTACAGCTGCCAAATACAACTTGCGTCAACGTTAACACGGCTCGACGACCAGACGCTATTGGTGTGTCGAAGCGTTTGAGCTTCCAGCCAGAAAGCGACGAAGGTGTTGTTGAAGATTCTGCGGTCAACTGAACTCTCAAACTGACTGTGACTCTCCATCACTTCAGTGTGTGTGCAATGCCTTTTTTAAAAGTGATAGTATTTCTTGGAGGCCTCCGATGCAAAAATTTTGGTCTGTCTGTCTGTCTGTCTGTCTGTCTGTCTGTCTGTCTGTCTGTCTGTGCATTTATCTGTTTGCCCAGTTTTAACGGCATCGAGTACTTGAAACGTCCGACCCTATCCGCAACGCCCACTAGTGTTGCTCAAGACTCAGCGTTCATACTTGTGCAATTGTCAATTAAAAAGCAACTATTGCGCATGTCTGGGGCACCATATCAACACGTACATATTCTGCATGTGCGTCTTTTACTAGAAAAGGCACACATAAGTAATTTTAAGGACCGTAGCGGTTATCACGCTGCGCAGACCATGCAACGCTTGCACGAAAAGGCCGGTGTTCCCCACGCTTTGCTAAGACGAGACGGTGGTGGCACCTACCCGTCGCCTTGCGTTCTACACCTTATCACCTCTAAGACAGGCACGCACACCCGTCTCAGAGGCACGCGCTTCGTTTTCCAAGAAAACTTCCTGATGGCGCTCATGTCTCACGTATGACATGAATTGATGCGCTCGTTCGTCTTCGCTGCATGCTCGAGGCACTAACGCAGTGCCTCCAGAATATCATTCACCAATTTTCTTGCGCAGAACATCAAATAAATTTTTGTTCACTCTCCCCAGACGCAAGGCTATCATCTTACGATGACATTTGTGAATTAACATGCAAATACGGGGCCATTTTTTTATTGCGATAGCAATTATATGGACATTCTCGGCTAAATATCGCCGCCAGCGTCGGCGTCGATATCATGCACGTGCATACGTGTCTATATATACAAAAACGCAAGAAAGAAAAAAATTCACAAAGAACACTCCGGCGCGCGGAATAGAACGTGGGACCTCCACGCCGTGAATGCGAAGCGTTAGCCACTGAGCCACCGAGGGGTACCTCCTTCAGCGTTTAAACGGCCAGCTTTTTGTAGCTACCCCTTACCACTTTTGGCGGGCATCTAGGGGAAGGGGGGGGGGCTATCGTGTTTTCAGCATTATCAGCAAGATGGCGCAATCAGTGCGCGGCGGCTCTCATCTCTCACGTGCACTTTGGCCCGCGGAAAGGAGGGGAGAGGACGATCTCTCGCGCACCTTTATTTCTCGGTGGGGAGGATCATACGTCTTGGCTGGCGTCGGGGTTGAACTGGAACGACTCTGTTGTAGATAGGAGGCGCACAAAGGTCACTGCAATCGTTGAGCATCCTCCATTTGCGAAAAGGGCATGGTTTTCAGACACAGCAGAGTAACAACTGAGACGCTCACTCAGGTTCATCTGTAACTTTGAGTACGTTTCGTGTGTCATTTGTGCGGGAGAAAGGTGGGGAACGTTTCGATCTGCTTGCCATTCTGCGCGTGACCTTGCAATTTGTTGCTGTCGCGTTCATTGCTTCGCCTTTGCGGTAAAGCTATGACTATTTCTTCTACCAAATTTTTTTTTCTCTCCTTAACTTGCATCCCATTTACCCTTCTTTAGTACAGGGTAGAAAGCCAGTAATTTTCTTTTTGTTATCTTCTCTGTCTTCCTCCAAACATTTTTTATCCCTTTCTCTTAAACCAGGAATCCATTTTGCTGCCGTTATTCGCAGCCGCAGTTGTCACTGCTTTCTCCTTCTACGTTTTTACTATCACGGGTAGTGCATCACGGGCGCTGAAGGGGTTGCGCTACATAAAGAAGCTCTTGTTTGTCTTTCGTGTCCTGTATTTCATGTAGAGCTACATTATAAGGGTGCTTGTGACAATGCTAGTATTTTTTTGTGCTAAGCAATTCGTCTAAACGAGCAAACACGTATCCTCTGTTAGGGGCCCTCACCACACACAATAAAAAGCAAGGCTTGCGTAAGCATGGACACTAAGGCGTCTGATAACTACTTCTGACTCTGTGGCTAAGGCTTTTATCTTTCAAAATTGTGGCCCATTTGTTTAAAGAA